TTCGACGATGGATTTGTCTGATCGTATGCCCAATATAAGTAGCTCAATTGTAGCGGTTAGGCTGGTAAATAAACATGGAAGAGACGAAATTGGGCAGGTAGTTCGTCTTTACTTTTTTGAGCTGAGTGAGTACTGGTCAGCTAGTGAATTGAATTACATAATTGTTTTTACCCCTCCCTCCTTCAAATCTTAGATATCTCTTTGCCAACAATATGAATTCAGGAATTCTGAAATTCCCTATATTCACTTTTGTTTATTAAGTAGATTTGTCTTTCAAAAAAATCCCTCAATGTCATTTCAATTAATGGTGAAACTGCTTGAAACAGAGATAGCAAAAGAGAGGGAGAGTCGAAATACACTCATGTTAGGCTTGAAAATGATTAACCGAAACATTGCCATCTCTGGTTTCATCGAGTATACAAGCGTTGGATGACAACCGACTGTTTGCATGGTTTCTTTAAATGTTTCTATATATTGCAAATCCCAATGGAGGAATACAATTCTCGCCTTTAAGCGGTCCTTGAGACCATCCTAAGAAGTAAGTTATAAAGGATGATAGGGAAATAGATCACATCCTTGGAAGTAGATTATGTTTTAGACATATCACTGTTTCTATGCAGGATTATAGCTTCGTAGTTTGTTTTATCTGTCATCACAAACTAAATGATGACCATCTAATGGACGATAAAATGACACCGAGATATCGTTGAAACGAAATTTCATCAAAAATTTGAAATAATGGGGCGTTGTTACTAGTCAAAGCGAATTTTTCAATTTTCGTTATACTCTCTTAGCCTGTACAGACTAGCAGTGAAGCAGTCATTATTCTACCAGGAATAGTAGTCAGTACTACTAAAACTCACGATGAATTCAGTTAACCATGTCTCGATTTGCAGGTGGTGACTTACCCGCATCTATTATAAATGTTAAATCACTGCACATGTTTTCGAATGCCTCTTTGGTAGGGTTCGGTTCAGTAGCATATTCGCGTTATGAGTTCTTTTTTAAAAGAAGTGAGCTGTAGTTTTATTATGGAGACGTCTAGAGTAGGTCTTCTGAAGCACGTCACAGTGCCAGGTCTGGAACCACAGGAAGCTGTGCTTACAGAGAAGCTGTTAAATACATAGTACAAGAATTAAAATTAGAACTGAACGATGCATATCAGTGGACAGATACTACGATCGTATTAGGCTGCATCCTCAACAGGACAACCGCTTTGAAACCTATGCAGATAACAGAGTAGGTTTTCTACTCGATAACAACACGCAATCACAATAGTGACGCGTACCAAATAATATGAATCCTGCTGACCTTGCCTCTAGGGGAATGAAAATTCTTCGGAAAATTGTTCAAAGTTCGTAGGCAAATGCATGCTGATAAATTCACCTGATATACAGCTGAAAGAAATCAATATTTTGATGACACGAGCAGCAACACATTCAGTGGACAACTTATTGTCATACTTCTCACCCTGGAAAAAGGTTCATAGAGCGGAAGTCTGGTTAAGAAGGTTTCAAGTTTTCTTACACCCTCAGAGTATCGAGATACTGCACCTCATTATTTTAAGTGGCTTGATATGTTATGGTGGATGACTGAGTAAAAGTAGACTGTCACGTTCAAGTCATATAACCAGGAACTTATGCTGTCACGGAAATTATCATTCGACATAAACATGAAATTGAAGGACATACAGGAGTGGCTCATACGTTTCAGCATCACGTAGGAAATATTGGTAATTGAAAGGAGCAGCAGTAGTTCAGCGTGTGGTGAACAGATGCATTGGCAAGCGAATAAAGTCTGTAGAACCCACCGAACAAATGATGGCAGACTGATGAATAGCAAGGATGACGTCACACTTTTCACTTACGAGCAATGGCGTGGATTAATTTGGCCCCTTCATTGATAAGTTGAGTCGCATAGCAGAAAATATATATGGACGCATATATTCTTGTTTGGAAACTCGATCAGTTCACTTAGAAGAGGCTCACACTTTCTGTGGATTCATTTTCGATGATATTTTCACGTTTCACCAACTGTAAAGGAGGGGGACTTCAAAAGAGAACAAGTTACAGTTTTTGATGAGGCTGATCGTGAATTACGGCAAGTCTTACAATAAGACAGCGATCGCGTAATAGTAACGATGACAAATCGTGCCACAGAGTAGTAGCTAAACACACCCTAAGCTAGTCACCATGGCTAAGTATTGGTGACGTTAATTAGTACCTTGTGTCAGTAGTTGAGCGCTGTCTCGAGGGAGCGATTCCTCACAAACGAATTGCCTACAACCTACTCCGTGGAAGTAGAAGAGGTACTAAATAGCAGACCGTTCGTATCTGTTTACCATGACTCGAGTCAGCTGAACGTGGCTACTACAAACCACAGTCTGTTATCCGGAAATCCTGACCAGGTTCCGGAAATCGAAGTTAGTTTTTCTGGACGTTATTCGTGACTATAGAAACAATGATAAATCCATGCCGATACGTTTTGTAACCGGTGGAAGCGGAAGTACTTAGTGATTTTACAATATAGAGTACAAAGTGGATCCAAAAACATCGAGGCTGGCAAGTGGGAGATTCGGGGTTAATTTGACAGAAGACCTCATCCAACCACTGATTTCCATTGTAAGCAGTCACTTCCGAAAGGAGACGAAATGCTGAGAAAGTGGTGGTATGAATGACACGATAAATACATGCATAAATCAGAACGGTGTTGCTTAACAAAAGTCATATAAGTAGTGAAATCATTAGGTACATGCGAACATTGTAGTCTATCCTTTAGTGAATTTCAACACACCACGTTGAGACGGTTAGTGGAGTGAATGCGAGATATCAGTGTTTACAATCATCACCGATTGGCGGCCAGAAGATTCACTGGTAAGTCACAATTAATGACCTATTTTGGTTGCAATAGCTTGTATGTAACACCTTATACCAAAGGGAGAGATTTTCAAAATTGTAGAATTATTGCAACTGATGATTTTCTAAGTTACTACAGATCACAGTAATTCCAAGATCTGTAAATATGTTTCGACTCATAGGTGAATGTTTTGTGCTGTGAATACACCAACGTTCGACTCTGTAAACGAAAACCCGCCAATTGTAGTTCACGATCCATTTTGGCACAAGTATCCATTTGATGTATAAAGCAAGTTATATGGAACTTTTTTATATAATTACCCACTAGAATCATGAATTTATCAGTTTAGTATATATACTCATATTATTCAGTCCTCAACTTCAGAGGCTCACCTCCTTCTTTATTCAAATCTATGTTACCACTATCGAATGCCTACATTTCTGCCATAAGGTTTACCTGTTATTTCCACACGGTCTCCTCTGTGAAATCATCGCAAATTCAATATGTCTGCTACCAGTCGGGTTCCACATGATGGCCTGGTATGGGATGTCAACTGCAAGTCTCATCAGCATACATGAAATCTCTCTATACGATAGGTGACTGATTGCCGTAAAATATGCAGAAGAGGCAGCAATCCGACGATTGAAGCCTGAATAATGTGCACACAGGAATATCTTTGATCCACCTTGCATTGTTTTGATAACTTTCTCTTCCTATAATCACAGTTTTGACTATTTGTTCCATCCTCTTACCACTGTTAAACACCCTTCATCGTTCTAATCTTGTCCACCAACAATTATACATGTTAAGTAGTGTACTGCCTCCATATTAAGTCTAACTAAATGCCTATAAACCTTATGCTTGTACTCATATTATACTTTTACGGAAACCAGTCTTCTTTATGCTAACTGAATATCAGCCGTTGTATCATCGAACACTGGTTTTTGATTGTTTTATGCATAATTTAGGTGGTCACACACGCTTGTTTCTGGTTTGTTTGCTTCAAAGTTTGATTTCACAAGTAAGATATTTTCTCAAGTTTTCACTCACACTGTTCATTCAATACAGCCTTGTTTGTTTTCGGTGGCACACAGCATTTAGCACATTATAGAATATGAAGACATGAATGTGTCACAGCATATTCATCAGAGTCAGGCATAGCACGCAACGATGGTAATTGTGTTTCTTAGTCTATTCTTGACTATTTCAGCGTCATTTGATCACCTACAGGGCATCAGCTGCTCACTCTTTACCACCTTGAATCCTAATCAAACCTTATCTGTAATATGTTGATCTGTAGTAAGGCAGTACTTCCTTTCTCTGATGGTTTCGATATAGTTGTAAAAGTTTGTTGTCATCTAGCACCTTCCTAACGCACTTACATAAAACATGTTACTGTCCTTTTAATATGTGTGGTTTTGAAAAAAGTGCTGTAGATCTAGACTCTCAAGATGAGTGCTCGAAACACTCAGTGTCATACCTGACCAGCATCGAAGACAAAGTCTTGAAAGTTTTCAAAATTACCTGAAATCAAGCTCAGTGTCTGTTCATGTAGCTTAGTCAACGTTGTGCAGAACATGCCTCATCGAAACTGAGTAAGGCACTGGCGGGAACTAACGCATGCTCCATTGTGTCCCATCTAGATGATAGTCGTTGGTCAGTGAACTTGACCAACACAGTCAGTCAGTGTGACTGAAATTTGTGATGGTCATCGCACTCGCTCTTTGAGTATGGGAGATACTGAAATAGTAATATCCTAACCTGCAAGAACAAGAAATCGTGAGCACAGCTACTATCAAATCATCGGCCGATGAAGAACAAACTAACCAGTTTATACACAATTACACACATCACATTTCACATCCTTTCCTCGACAACTGCTTTTCTTCTCATTGTATCAAAACGCAGATGCATTTTATCTACTTTGCTCACTTCCTAGTAATACTCAATCTTTGAGCAAATCATAATGACTTTCTAGAGGTACGTGTAATTCTTAGTTTGAAATAAGAAGAAGGTCTGGATAAACTTAGTAAAATCATTTTATTATTTAATTAGAAAATTATTAAATAAATTTATCAAATCAAAATAACTAGCTACTTGTTTAAGTTTCAATAAATAAAATTAAACAGCGCGGGCTACTCCATGCTTCATGATCCACGACGATAAACTTTGACCATATTCTGCGACCTTAAGCAAAAGATGAAATACAAAGAAAACATGTTTTTCTGATATGAATTCACTAAAGGGAATGTAGTCAGTTAATCTGTCAGCGTTTGGTTTTGGATAAGCCTCTGAATGTCTGCAGAAATCTCTCGCATTTTCTGCTAAAAATACTTTTGTCTACTTTTAGGAAATAGGGGGTAGATCAGAGTCCAGTCGTAAGTTAACACTTGCACGTAAGCAAAGAGAGTTTACCAAATCAACTGAGGGTTATACTGTCAGTCTGTTCTTACCTGAATTCCAGTGAGGAAACCTTCAAAAACTGATTTCAGACCTAAATTACAAAAACAGTAATGTTGTTATTGCAATGAGGTTTGAAACTAAAGTATATCTGAGAAAGTATCTAGATGGCATAGTGAAATAGTGGTTATACAACTGGAAGCTGCATCTCTCATTATTTCTATTCGCATATGAAAATATGAATTCAAGAATTCCACACATTGAAGTTAACAGGAAGTTCACTATACTTACTGGTATTTTTTATCAAGGCTGATTTCTCAGCATGTTTCTTAGATATCAGTTCAATAAAACGTTTAACTCCTAGAGACAGCGAGAGGGAGAAAGCCAAAACAGATTTACGTTAGGTGGAACAGAAATGGTGAAGTAAAACTTTGTGATGAGGGAATTTACAAGCGTTGAATAACAGCAGACGAGTGTCAGCTTCGTTCCCTCTAATATACTTGACATTCTGCAGGTGTGTATGATTTCCTTTTGGACATTCACAATGTAAAGTAGGTTGTACGAGCTTAATCGAGATTGATCGTCAGTGTGAATGTGTTGACTCATCTGTAGGCGAATACTAGAGACATCGTAATGATGTTTTTCTGTCTTTTCTTATTGTTCTCTATAGCAATAGATACGTGCATATATAATATATGAAATGACTTATAACATTTCTATGGAGTATAATTGTTTTTATTTATCAGCCTGTCACAAGGGAGATATTTCTGATTGTCAGCAACATACAGGAACCTAGAAAGGGTTCTTCACAAGCGAATTATTTTTTATAAATTTGAAAGAAATCAAGAGATTCCTGTGATAAGTGATGGCTTATTTTTCTCTTGTAGTTGAGGTCATCTCTGGACATTTCAACTGAGGAGTTCTGGATATCGTTCTAGACAACATATTCAGCATTTATAAACTTTGTACACATCAACTTACTTTCATCTATAAGGAAATATTGAATCATGATTAAAGCAAGTCTGTTTTTATGAATGAGACTACTCAATGAATGTATGTGAGTAATATGAATATGAATAATGTCATCACACTGATATATGCATGACAGAGAATGATATTTAGATACCTTGAATTTGAGTCCGAGTTAGATAGGCCTTGCAACCTTTATTTTTTGGACCGTACCTCCTATCTATTCATTGTACACGAGGAATAAAAATGTCAATATGTATTTAGTTAGTGATGGAAATATATAAATATATCTACAAAAATGCCCATTAATTTTATTATTATTTTGCAACATGAACTAACTTTTCAGAATTCCTTAATTTTGTAGTCACCATGATGCAGAGAAATAAAAAAAACAGTATCAATTAAAATCTCATTATCTTCTGAATAAGGATATTTAAGTGTTTATGGGACTTATCACGTTGATGTGGTAGAATGAAGAAGTGGTTACCGAATGTATTGGTTGAATATTGAAGTTAAAACCAAAAGATACCTGAATCTTATTGATCACTCGAATAATGACAGCTGTCCAACTAACTAGATGATGACGAACTAAGAGTGAGATGTAGGTGGTTAATTGTCACAGAAACTATTAGAGTATCGTGGACTGATGTAAGCATAAAACTGATGCGTGGAGGTAATAGAGACACTGATATTCCCTAAGAGCCTAGTTACTCACCTATGACAGCAGCTAGTAATTGCACTACATATCGTGGACTGGCAGAAGTTGGCATTCACGAGCCATTAGATCAATTCCCAGGGGTAGAATGGTCTAAGAGCTCAGCTTGCAACTAGAAGGTTCTTGCCTCAAACCCCAATCGGTGTTTACTGATAAGGAGTCCCACGCTTTTTGATTAGTATTACTAGATTTTCAAATGGCTCTCTAACTGATATCAACTCGTGATCGAACATATAAATTATCTAAACAAACGGCAATAACGACAGTTATAATATCAAATAGCAAGTGTTATGTGGCGGGCATGCAGACAGATAGAAAATGTAGATTTTCCCATGGGGAAGTTTTATAATTACTTCTATACTCATAGATACGATCCTCAGTTTCATATATTTGTTCGTGAGTATTATCTGCAAAAAGTTCTGAAGAAAATATAAAAATGAAGGGATGTACACTTCTCAAAACAATTCTATTATTCAGTGAAAAATACATAAGTCTTATACATGTTCTACAATTGATTTCACTGATATTCACTGAGAGATTTTGACATAGTGGTACGCATTGGAATTCCTACTTCTCTCGTGATTTAACATTCTTGGTAGTAATTGAACTTAATTATACATCATAATGAAATATTGAAAGACTGTTTATCCTCTTCATAATTAATTTATTAGCTTATATGAATGCAAGGCAGCAAATAGACGTGATTTTACATGATTGTAGGCGAATAGAGAAAAGCATCTAATCCAAATTTCGCACTTGTTGACACTCACAAGTCAGTATGGCGTATATAGAATCTTGAAGGAAGTTATGTCCACCCTGAGGTTGGGAACCGGGTCATCCAGTTCTGCAGTCGGAAATGTTATCAATCAGCTATTCGGGCTCGTGATACATCTCCTGCTTGACTCTATTTGACACAAGGTAGTAACAACGAGTGCCAACAAGCACGGAAAACTCAACCACCTAATAAGTGCAATTCACAGAGCGCCATGATGCCAAGTCACTTAGCATAGTGGTCACACTGCAAACTTAACCGATAAAATCCAGTACGCACCAGACGAGGGAATAGATGCATGACGCCAGCAACTATGGTAAAGAATTTTCAAATGATTTTCAATTAAATAAGGGTAAAGAATCTGTGGAATCCACTAGCTAAACGGCAACCACACGCATATGAACTTAAAAAGGGAGTGTGACCACTGTCACTTAAAAAACTGGAGTTAAAATATTCTCTGAAATATTGAGATAATAAATATGTGTAGAAGAAATCATACTGTATTCTGCTTTGATTTTTTTCATGCTTTTTATTAAACCTATTGGATTTCATATGCAAGAAATTCAGAATGTATATGTTAACTTGATTAGGATAATAAAAGACGCGGGAAAAACGAATAAACAGAGTCAAAAGAAACTGACATGATAATCTCGGAATAGGCGGTTGAAGAAACAAATAATCAACCCTAAAATGAATCCATTAATCGTCGATGTCGAAAGCAGTAATATGCTCTTTTATAATTCATACTGCATAACTTGAAGCCACATACGTACTGTTATTACCGGACTCATCTGAAAATGAACAGCGACTATCTGCACTCGATTAGATTCGCAATTGACTACTGGTTCTTACTCATGGTGCAAATATGTGATCACTGACCAAACCTATACAATTTTCATCTAGATTCATCGTCTTCGTATGCAAGCCAGAACAATAACAATGGCTCAGAATAGTCTATACAGCGATTCATTTACATTATGACATATTCTGATGAATTATTTTCCATGTCAGTAAACAAAAGTGTATTCAAATTTCACATACCTTTGTAAGTGTTCAGTAAGCTGTGGACAGAAGTGTAGTTTTCTTGGCATTTCATAACTGAAAAGATGATCAATTCTCCATAGAAAGTATGTCAGTTGACTTACATCTTCTGAAATTCCTCTCGTCCTTTATTACCTGTTTTACCAATTTTACTGAAGAAGAGAAAAGTATTTGAAAATCAGTTATACATATATAGCCAGCTTGATATTGGAAAAGTAAACCAAAGAGCTCCGTATATACGCATTCCATACCACTTTCATTTTCATCGAATAAACCATGAAACGACACGTCGACAAAATATTCGATGAATAAACTAGTTGAGTACATGTAGACAAGTGTCCCAATTGTGGTATAGTGGAAAGAACACAATAATCGAGATAAATTTCAGTGGCTCTCAAATTTCACCAACAAACTAGTTCATCTGTAATGTAGATATAGATATATATATAGATATATAGATTGATATTGACTGGCAGTGGAAACCTGAATTTGCATTTCATTCTATTTAGGACTAGTCAGCAGGATATACACACATTTCCAGTGAATGATGGTGTTCTCACTGACAGTCGAGACCTGCATTGACCATCTCAAATGACAAAGTGTCTCGGTGGGAAAATCACCAGAAGACAAGTGGAGTTGCTTTAGACTTCGACTGAAATCCAGCATGCTATGCAAATGAATAAACTGGGAGGGTAACTCTTACACTAGTAAATTCAACTGTTATCCTAGAACCTTGCAATGAATTCCTAACACTGTGGACAGCTTGGTTTTCATTTTGTCATTCAGTCAAGAATTTAAAATTTGGAAGTGAATATAATTTTATTGGAAGAGGTAAATTAAAACGTGTTCATTTCACCTTGTTCATATATATCTGATTGATACTGACTGATGTTTTTTTTATTTATTTGCATTGCATCTATAAAATGATTTGAAGTGGAAAATGAATTTGAAAATATTGAAATTCCATATAAAATAAACAAGTTCATGTCGTAACTCAGTGTATAGTTCAAGGATTTACTTCGTCCATTGTTTACTTAGTAAAGAAGTCGATACTGGCTGAAACCCTTTTTTAGTGAGCATAAGTGATGATTATCTACCTGTCTGTTATTGGGTTTTTCTATCAAACAAGAAGGTAGCGGTTAATAGAATTTATGAATTCAGGATAGGAAAAAGGATAACCTTGGACCTCGTAGCCTCATGAACAGCAGTCACATATTTGCTCTCAACACCACACTAACCACACTAACTAATTATTCAAATAAAGAATGGCTCTGAACAATCACTCAGTAAAGAATAAATAGCAACGCTTTGGATATCGAGTGCTATACATGGCTTCAACAATAGATATCCATTTCGCCAAGTGATCTGAAGTCCTCTCTAAGTGCCTTCATGATCCACTGTGTGCTCTAGTCCTCTCCATAAACAATTAATTAACCCCTCGTTTCCAATACAAGTTCCACTCGATGATCTGCAGGTTGCGTGGAATCACTCAATGGTCTTCCCATAGTACGTTCGATCCATCTCCATTTCCTTCAGTAATTCTTAAAATCCTTAACACGCATGAAGTGATCTTCAGTGATCTTACTGTATTGAACTACTTCTCTCGGGGTTTCAGTACATGCTTATGTCAAAGTGAACTCCATAGAATGTACTGTCTTTTACGTATTCAATCTAATGAGTATAGAGTAAAAATAATTCTGAAAAATGGACAAACAAATAAACAAACATTCAAATTACAGATAGAAGCGCTGATATAAAATGTAGTGAGACTTGCCGTCATAATGCTTGATAATATTTTCCACCTCCAATCTATCCTCCTTGAATGGTTCGTAATCTTCAAGTAAACAATAAAGTGAATTGAATCGAAGGAGATACACTCTCATTTTCGCCGTCGTGATATTGACAAATACATAAAAGGCCTAACTTTTCATCTCTGTGAGACGTGAATATGTAATTTAGAAGAAGATAAGAAGAAGAAGCGTACATACTACATATTCTGATGTATCGATCTGGGGTGTACATATTACTTTTCATGGATTGTAAAATTGATTGCACCAACATAAAGCATAACAACGCTAAATAAACTTCATTTGAAAAGTCTAGCTTGCTCGGTACCGGTATCTGTATACAGACTTCATCATATGCCAAAATAATACCTCAAATCAACCCTCGTACTTATTTCATTTTATAAAATACTGCACATTTCAAGGTTGACATAGACAACATGCTGTGAAGATGGAGGCGAGAGCCTGTGGGTTGGCGTCAGGTGAGTTAAGACAGATTTCACAGGATCGGCTTTTATGAGAGTGTTCCGGTGAGGCCTTATCTTCCGATCCGAACGCAATGAACTACTATGCAAAATAATCAACATCTTTTATTTCCCTCTGCGGTGAAGATACAGGACGATTGTCGGGAACCAGTACCCATTCAGCCTCCATATGATTAAGTTTATTCTCACTATGAAAATAATGGTGATAAGTGGAAAGTTTGATGAACGTAACTATCTAATTGCATTTCACATTCATAAATATTGCTAAAATCATAAAAAATGCAAAGACAAATGACTTACCTGCGACTTCACATGTACACAGAAAGAAAGCAATCACAATTAGGTAAGTAGGTGTGGATGCGAATGCCATGGTTATTCTGCATCTCTTCATAATCAGTGGTATTTATATTAAAATTAAACAAAGAGAAAAGCTATGCTGTATTCATATGTTATTGGTTGATTAGGAAAGACTGAATAAATATCTGATGTTATCCGATTCATTCAACGACACCACCTACTTTGTATCAAATCTAACTCATCAACATCCGACAGACTGATAGTCATGAAGTGTAGTATTGTTTGTCTCTCGAGTGTCTGTCTCGTTTGTGGCATCACTCACAGAACGTTCGATCCATCTCCATCTCCTTCTGTAGTTCTAAAACTTCTTAACATGCAGAAAGTCTCCAGTGATCTTAATATGTTGAACTACTTCTCTCGGGGTTTCAGTACATGCTTATGTCAAAGTGAACTCCATAGAATGTACTGTCTTTTACGTATTCAATCTATTGAGTATAGAGTAAAAATAATGCTGAAAAATGGACAAATAAACAAACAAATATTCAAATTACATGTAGAAGTTTCGATACAAAATGTCGTAAGACTCACATCCATCATCATTCAGCATTTTGTCCACCTCAGTTGTTTCATTTTTCCGGAGATTGATATCTTGAAGCAAACAACAAAGTAAATTTAATCGAAGTGGATACACTCTCATTTCCGCTGTTGTGATATTGACAAATACATAAACGGCCTAACGTTCCATCTCTGTGAGACGTAAATGTGTAATTTAGAAGAAGAGAAGAAGAAGCGTACATAGTAAATATTCTCATGAATGCATCTAAGGTGTGCATTTTGCGTGTGATTCATTGTGAAATTGCCTCCACCCTTACAAATTCTATCTTCAAATGTTTCAGTCAATTATCACAATGAAGATGATGGTAATAAATGGAAGGTTTGACAAATGCAGATGTCTAGTTACATTTCATCACGATATATATAATGGTGAAGGCAGACAATGGAGACAGAAATGACTTACTTGCTGATTCACATGTACACAGAAAGAAAGCAGTTACAAGTAGGCAAATAGATTTGGATGCTGACGCCATGGTTATTCTGCATCTCTTCATAAGCGGTTGTATTTATACTGAACTTAACAAGAGAGAAACTATGCTGTATTCATATGCTACTGGTAGATTAAGAGAGATGGAATAAATTTCTGATGTTATTGGATGTTTTCAATGATACCACCTACATCCTCTCACACCCCTGTCAACAAAATCTCACGGGCTGAGACTCACTCAGTACTGGAATTTATCACCGAGGTCACTGATAAACATTAACCCAAGCATATATGTGTTATCAATAGATAACAAATATTTCACTAATTACAATAAGGAATCCGATAGAGCGCAAAGATAAAAGCGATGGCTTCATTAATAATTAAAAGTCGTACTGTGCCTTATTCAATGTACCTATGTAGTGAAAGAAATTATTTCATTTTCATTCACCTTTATAACATACGATATTAACAATAGAGAGAAATTCCACATCATCTCTTATCAGTTCTCTACATTGTCAATGAAAATATTATTGAGGTCACCCTGTCTAAAATACTCACAATTCTTATACTCATAGAAATAAAATTATTTTAATTAAAATACAACATCAAGAGTTATCAGAATAGAATCCTATTTCCGATGACTTCCAAATCGGCTGATTTGTCTTGTTTCAATTCACCTGAAATCAGAATTTCCACAGTGAAAGCTCCATTGATGAATGCGGATCACATAGCAAGTCTTCAAAGTATCCAACTAGTGAATGATTGATACGTGAGCTGTAATGAAAAGCATCATTGTCTCGCATTACTGCATCATTCCGTAAGACACTTCTTGTTATTCTCACAGTTTGGACTCCAAAATCAGTGAGAACTGGATACCAGAAACCACTAATGTGGTGCGAAAATGGTTAGTATGAATGATTATGTAATTAGAGTAATCGAAATCCAAGTGCACTTATCAAGGTAGTCAGAGATTGACATTCAGATGTATGAGAATGATATACCTGTCAGATTCTGGTTGTGTCGCTGATATACCTCACCAAACGAGCCTTATGTAGTGCGGTATGTCTAATGACACACTTATATGGTACACTGCCTGAATCACAACTACTGATAACAAGATCCAAATCAAAAAGTGTCGATTGTTTAAACATGTGCCATAGTGAGCAACATATTAAAATAGAAAAAAATATTAGGATTATTTGGGGAGACGATTTCAGTATGCGTCTGGCTAGTTTTGCTTGAACAAAGAACTCTGGCAATGTGCGTGTTACAAGGACGCAAGAACAGCGCAAAATGACGTACGAGACTGGTCAGATGTGCACGCGTTGAGACGAACCTCGCAACACCTAAAATCTCCATAGGTGGGCTAGAAGTTTATTGAGTTCATATTAAGTCGATTCAGTCTGATCGGTTGGTTTTAGCCCTGGATTTACTTTGGTGCAGTGGAAGCTACGTTAGGTGATATCCTACGTTTAGAAAGTTCATGTAATGTTGGTGACACTTGACGCTGTTGAGAAACCGTGAAGCGGACACGCAATACTTTTCCATGTTGCAGATGACTTAGGTGACGTGCTGACTCCAAACTATTACGACTATACAAATCTGTGGAGAAATGAAAATTTTCCTTCAGATAACACGCTTCACCATCTACTGTTTCCTAAGCAAAACAATTCTCTGAGAGGAATACACAAGGAGGAAATAGGTACAGATGAAATCACAGAGCTATACATACGCCTTCGTCAAGAAGTGATTGTATCCAATTCTCATGCTATGGGCTTGTCAGTAATTGAGTCCAGCTCATGGTTCGACATCCAGAAGTTTCCAAGTCCTGATGTTGTAGGGGAAAACGATTTCTCCTCAGTATATGCTTTTTAGGACAAACGACACTTACTGTAGTCTGACGTCCTGTTCGGTTAATGAATGATGATTTGAAAGGTTAGTCGTATACAGCTTTCAGGGGATTACGCTTAGCACCACAACGCACAAAATTGTGTGCATGGTGTTGAAGTCTAGATTCCGGTCTCACTTTCCTTCTCTGGACACAATTTAGAGACGACTGAAGTTGATGCATAGAACGTATTCGACTCTAAGGGTGGCTGTGAACATCATACACTCTTGATTCATCACCTTCCCAAGGAAGTAGTTTGAAAGGTATAAGTAGTGTAAATTGTAATTCTCACAACTAATTAAACACTATGATGTCATTTCACTCATCAACGGTTTTTGTACCGAAGAAACGGCAGTTTGAAGGTGTTTGGAAAAGTACGCCAAAGAGGTGAGAACAAAAACTATATTTATCGTCTAAACGAACTATGTCATCTTCCTGCAGATTCTACAAATCCAGAAATGTCAGTGGATCAGTTTTCACATAAAATATTCAGGCAATATTACGGAGCTGATAACCACGAAAAACAGCAGGGACCACAAATCTTCTTCTAATGTGTGATTATTGAGGGTGACCATGAGGTTAGTTGAACCATCACCATAAGGTTTGACAGTTTCTTCCAATCCACAACCTTTTTTAATAGAAACAGTGAGTTATAGTCATTTAATATACATGATATTTGCCGACGAATCAGCGTGTGACTCGAGTGGTTTTGTGGTAAGACATTCGAGATAATGCCAGAGATTTTCGCAGTTCATCATTTCTGATAAAATTTCAGTGATAAATGGTTCCAGATTTCATTACCTTTTTATTGGTGAACTGCCGGGATAAGAAGCAAAGTCTTTATCTTCTTCGGGAGCTGCACCAACGTGCTGTGTACCTGTTGAATCAGTTTCCGTGGCAAGGTGAGATATATGCTGACATTCTGCACACAAATATGAGACATTTCGAAATGTATGAGGTGAGAAGGTTGTTAATACTTAGTAGTACAAACTCATGGTGCAGTAATGCGAGACAATGATGCTTTTCATTACAGCTCACGTATCAATCATTCACTAGTTGGATACTTTGAAGACTTGCTATGTGATCCGCATTCATCAATGGAGCTTTCACTGTGGAAATTCTGATTTCAGGTGAATTGAAACAAGACAAATCAGCCGATTTGGAAGTCACCGGAAATAGGATTCTATTCTGATAACTCTTGATGTTGTATTTTAATTAAAATAATTTTATTTCTCTGTGTATAAGAATGGTGATTTTTTTAGACAGGGTGACCTCAATAATATTTTCATTGACAATGTAGAGAACTGATAAGAGATGATGTGGAATTTCTCTCTATTGTTAATATCGTATGTTATAAAGGTGAATGAAAATGAAATAATTTCTTTCACTACATAGTTGCTTAAAACGAATTGAGCCAGCTTAAATATGAACCTAGGACCCCATAATGCTTGATTTTAGATATTAACAGTCGGTGGCTCACAGTGTCAAAGGCTTTACTAAGATCTAAGTATAAAGTAACTGTGATCATACTGGAATCTCTAAGTTGTGAGATGTGATCGAGAAAATGTAAGTGGCATGACGTGCAAGAACGTGACTTCGTGAAACCATGTTGATAAGGAATGATAAGTCTCTCTTGAGACAGGAAGTCAGAAAGGGCACTTTTCACGATCTTTTCCAGAACCCTTGAAATAACAGAAGTTAGGTTAATGGAGAGAAAAAACACATCGTATTCAAGGAGCGCGCGTGATTGTGTTCCAATTTTTTTCGCTAAATTTGGTTTCGTTTCTGGCAGTAGTCGTTTTTCCCAGGTACTAATCCTTTTGATATTTTCCGTTACAGAGAGTATCAACAGCACTTTCCCTATAGTAACATATTTTGCATTTCGTCTAGAACTTCACGCTAGACCTGTTGGCTTTAATGTCGTCTCGTAGTTCATAACGATTGTGGAATTACGAACAGTATAGTATTTTTCTCTACTGCAAAAAACGAAAAAAGAACAATAATAAAAAAACTAAAAAGGATTTTGAGGAAACTTCTAAACAAATCGGATAAAAAACTTGTACTGTACAGTTAAATGGACCACTGCATATTTTTACGCATAAAGTTGTCACTTCTATGCTGTAAATATTAATTCTATCTATTTTCATAGATTTTATTATGTTCACGCGGTTTTATGCCCGGCTGAAACTTCTTTATTTTGTGAGGCGTACTTGTAACCATTTCTCATCACTTAAGTTATCCAACTCACGACACTGTCTTTTACTAATTATAAACACTTATCGCTATTGGCTACTTTCACACTGCTCTGTAACTTTTATAAATTTACGTAATGTTAACAATTTTCTTTATTTTACTTCAATCTGACGTACTGCTTTCGCGTTATACCATGTCTCCTCGCATTTATTCGGCCCAAGCTTTCGCAACACCCTCATGCTGAATTTGATAACTTAACCTCTTCTCCCATTCCTCCCTTCTGTTTCGTTTACCTTGTTCCTTCCAATATGCTGGTATATTTGTTGTCTTTAGTATCGATTGCTAGTTGCTGCTGAAGCGGGAGAGTGGAGCATTGACTTAAGACGCAACTTAGAGATAATGAGTCACTTATCCTCTATGACAGCCTGGGCAACGGGGGTATGCCATCGTCCCTTCACACACCGTAGCAGTACGGAGTAAAAACGTGAATGAAAATAAAACGTGCAAAACATATTTTAACAAAAATAAATGAATAAAAATAAGACAAAAGACACAAAAATGTACAACAAGAAACACAACAACTTGGAACCATGCAATCGCACTAACGCACTAACGTCAATTCGCCTTACTCCACTAACCATGTGTATAGTGCCTCTCATTTACCTTAACCTTTTTCTTTCCTTCCACAATTCTTTATTACTGCCTTCAAGATTCCTCGTTCATTGAATATAATTGAACAAAGCCCTACTCTCAGCTCACTACTTTCGTGTACCGAAGCCTGCCAATATCCCACCAGCCTGTAGTGTACCTTGAATGCTTGAAATTTTGTTCTAACGCATTTACCCACTTTTGGCGCCACGCCATCTTGTGATTTCCGACGCGACTGTACACACGTGGTTTGCTCCCTTGTTGTGCTACCATTCAGCGCACTGTTCGAGCTTACTACCCAGCCGAGGTATCA